AAATATTTTAAAATTTAAAAGGTGCAAAAGGGTATGGAGTAAAGGCAAGCCTTCCTCTCACCTCTGTGCCTCAGGAATCCTATTTCCCTTTCTGGAGGCCGACACTGTTATCAGTTGCTAAGGTATCTTTATTTCAGTGGTTTGACTAGAGGAGGGACATAACCTGATTTCTCTTTCTAACGGATCACTCAGACTGCTGAATTAAGAAGAGAGTGTGGTGGACGCATGGGGCCAGGCAGGAAGTTGTTATAATAATCCAGGTAAGTCAAGGACTGTCTTAACTGCACTACCCAAAGGCATGAGAAAATCGAAATGTGTATATACATTTTTGAATTTTAGAAAGAATTAACATATACATTTTTGGGTTAAAACAGCTTTCCCTGAGCCCCCCAACTTTAACTAGTCTCCCCTGCAGTTTATATCACAGCGGTTGAATTTTTCCTTCATAGCACTTAACACTACTTGTAACTATATATTTTGTGATCATTTCTTTAAAAATGTCTTATAGTTCAAGCTTCTTCAGGACAGAACCATATATGTTTCTTTAATCAGGGTATACCAGTGACTTTTATAGAACTGACATATAAGAAAGAATTTTGAATGAATGAATGAATGAATGAATCAATCAATCAATCAATGAAGAAATCACCAGTCGTTTGGTCTTGCCACTCTTCCAACAGAAATAACCTAGGAACAACTAATCTTCTCTCTGCCTCCTCCCAACAATCTGGGTTTCTAAAAGATTAAATAATATTTGGATGGGAATAAAGAAAAAAAATGTATATTAGTTTCTCATATGTATCTATCCCATGTATCCATGTATCTTTCCATCTTCTTTTTTGTAAAAACAATAGGAAATCAGGGAGGCAGGAAGAAAACAAAAGGATTATGAGATTTAGTAAACTAAGCGTTTATATATTTACTCAGGTAATAGAGATGGATACATTAGAAAATGTTTAGAATTAGGCATTAGAAATATTCTAAATTTACATTTATATTATCCTTTATATTATTAGTGTATAGGTTATAAACTATGACTTAAAATATTTCATTACTCTAAAGTGTCAGAGGTAGATACTAATATACACATAAGAATGTTTTTGTGTTTAAGAAAAGCATTGCTTGGAATACTACTCTGCCATAAAAAAGATAAAATGGTGCCATTTGCAGCAACATGGAAGGATCTTGAGGGTATTATGCTAAGTGAAATAAGTCAGACAGAAAAAGACAAAAATAATATGATTTCACTCACATGTGGGATATAAAACACACCAAAAAAAGGTAACAAATGAACAAACAAAACAAAAACAAATTCAGATAAAACAGAATGGTGGTTCCCAGAGGGGAAAAGAGGTGAGGAGAGCTTGAAATGGGTAAAGGGGGTCAAATATATGGTAACGGATGGAAACTAGACTTTTGGTGTTAAACATGAAATAGAGTATACAGATATCAAATTATAATTTTGTATACGTGAAATTTATATAAGGTTATTAACCAATGTTACATCAATTAAAAGCAAAGCAAAGCACTGTTCTACATTTTAGTTTTAAGGAGAGACACATTCTGTTTATTGTCTTGGGTCACATATGGAAACATCTCAATAGATGGCAGAACAGCATTCTTTATACACATTCACTGTTCTGCTGCAGTGTTTCTCTCTAGTCTTGTGGGCACTGCATGGCAGCAAAGAGAGAGGAGTGCCTGACATCAAAAGGTTGGCATAACCACAGACCAACTCAGCACAAATCCAGAGGCTAGAACTTGTAGTTTACTCATGGATAATTCTCTTATGTTTTGTCTAAACCACTGGACCCCAGTGCCTGCCTTAAGTAACATTCCTCTCTCTCTCTCTCTTCCTTGGAAGTGGCCCATCGTCAGCTAGGAGGAACCCAAAAATGTTACTGTTGGATGCAGCCACTTCCTCTTTGTAAAGATGAGGAGATAGAGGCCTAAGAAGATTGAGGAACAAGGTCAGTGGGCATTTAGAGATTAGCATTGATATTTCCTGATATTGCTTCTTTTCTTTTACAGTGAATTAAAACAGATATTAAGATTATTGGTATCAATAATAATTTCTTTAAAAACACAAGAAAGAGAAAACACACATATGGCTATAGAAAAAGAACTGAAGCAAATGTGGAAACTAAAGAATGTGCCGGGTCCAAGAGGTCAGAAACAATATGTTATAATTTTTCTTGGTCCTGAGAGCCTAACACAAAGCTAAGTTCATCATTGGCTAATTAATCAAATCACACTTTCTAGTCTATTAGTTGAACTTCTACTACTTGGTAATTCCGCTAAGGACCAATATATGTTTTTTTCATTTTTCAGTTTCCCATAGAGCCTAACATGGTTGATATTCAGTAAACATTTATAACGAATTGAACAAATGTCCAGTGTCACATTATCAGAAAGCATTACTCGTACTTTTATGGTGCCTTTGTATTTTCATTCTGACATCATATATGATTTTGTCTGTATGTCTGTGTGTAAAATAACAGTGCTTACTCTCTCCATAAGTATTTTCTATTTTAACACCTTGTACAATTACAAGGTGAAAACTAATCCCAAACGTCACAAGAGTTAAATGGCAAATGCAGAACGATTGTGAAAGAATTTTGCGGTTGAAATTGTAATGTCATAGCACTTCAGTGAAGGTAGAAGACATTCTGGTATTCTGCATGCTTAGATATCAGAATTTGGGGTTATTCCTGGTCCTTTTTCTACTGAAAAAAATAGGGTCAAGTCTCACGAAAGTAATTTCAGTGTTATTCAATATTTTATTAATGGGGGAGAGCATCATTTTAACTGCAGCAATCTATAGAATTATGAACTGATTACTAGTTCAAATGACAGAGTCCTACAGTGAAACCCATAATTTCACATTACATTCTGCAAGAGATGATAGCAGTTCTTCACATATAATGGTATTGCTAGCCCAGGATCTTGTTAACACTCCTAGTCTGAGAGGTTCTGCTTATCCTATCTCATTCCTGTTTTGAATCAGAAAGATTTTTTTTTTCAAAGGTCTTTTGGTCCTTATTCTTCACAAACAGGATTCTGGTCAATTAGAGATTCTCAAAAGAGGTACCTTGAGTAAAACATTTAAGAATTTAAGTACAATGATAAAATTATAAAGAAATGAATTATTTTTTTTAAAAAAAATAAAAGCCAAGTGCTGCGGTTTGACTTGCATTTAGCTCTTTGTAGCTATTTCTAGTCACTGATTCGATGGAAAGTAGCTTCAGAGTTACTTGCTTGTTACTGGGCAACAATTTATTCCAATTATAACTGAAATGTCCCTAATAGACAGTTACTGGTAGATAAAAACAGGTTTTAAAAAAATGAACCATTAAATCCATAGTATTATCTCTTGTTGTATGAGGCAGAAATTATTCTAACAATTGACATTTGCTAATGCTCCAATGTCCTTTAAGACATTTCAAGCGATCTGGGGGGCATCGGTGAGGACCCAAAGGGTGGGGGGCACAGTTCAGAGCTGTTAAATGTAGAAATGACACAATTAGAGAGAATAGCTACAGAGGCTAGAAACCAAATGTTACCAGTGTATGAATTGCCACCTTCTCTATCAGATGTAAATGGCACCTGATACAAACTTTCATAGAGAGTTTTTCTTTAGAAAAAGATCCTCATGGACAATGGGTAACTACATTCTCTTTTTGACTATCTCCCCATTACATTTTTACTTATCTATTCAAAACCCCAAAACAAAAACTACCACAGTTTATAAACAACATTGAAGAATAGTAGAAAATGTCCCTTGAAATTTAATACATGTTTTTAAAGGCAAAGAATAAAAATAAAAAAGAAAAGAAAAGAAAATCTTTGATCCTAAGGTTGTTGATCCAAATTCAAGCAGACTCATTGACAAGCAAAATAAATCTTTCCATGTTTCTAGCTTCAGAGACTAGAATCTGGGTAAGCTCAAAAAAAGTTTGCCACACAGATATATTCTCAAATGTCATGTTTAGTTTGCAAGAAAGATATAATTTCTATGTTTTCTTCCCTTTATAATATCAAAATGCAGTCTAAAATGTACTGACTATAGTTGCTAACTGACATCAACAAAATTCACATGCATGGAAGGAATAGAGTACATTGATCATAAATTTAATCTGGAGAACTTTATGTTATAGTCAGCAGTCATGCATTTTGAAATGTGTCTTAAATGAGCTGGTCAGTTCTAAAGGTAGTAAGAATAGCTGATGGCTGAAAATTTACACCATCTAGCTTCAGTTTGTCCTCATTACAGAATAATGGGCAAGAACATTATTAACACCAGTCCCAGGCAGCAGATATAGAAATAACTTGTTGAATTTAATTGGGTTGAATTAAAATTTGTCCTTTTAAAGAATAAAGTTAGCATCTCAAGTTCAAGGTCCCGGAATGATCTAGGCTTTCCACAATTGACTGTTTAATGAACTCCTGACTAGTTCCAGATGAAAGAGATTAAAATAACTTCACTCAGCACTCACTTTAGTCCATTTCATTATGTGGACTTGGGAAGTCTATGATAATTATAGTGTTACTTAAAAAAAAAAAGTTTCATCACTGTGCTTCCTGTTTGGTGAGTAAACAGCAGAACAGTTCTGGTCTGTCACGAACCTATTAAAACCTATGACACCCCTGTAAGCGAGTCACTTGGACAACTCAAGAATTCTCCCTGACAGGACACTGAAACGCCAACCTGAAACGAACAACTTGCCGTAGTGCGACAATCTTAGCCCTGTTGCAACTGGGTGACTAGTCAATTCGCAGAGAGAAGCATCATCGGGTACCCAGGAATGCTGTTATTACCCATTCTAAGTATGACGCGGAGGTCACATATCAGGCAATTACACCTTTTCATTACATGCTAACCCCTCACGGCAGGGAAGCCACGCTTATGACTGCAATAGACAGACAAAGCCTTCAGCTCTTTCAAAAAAGGAAAAGCAAAAAAAGAAAAGATTAAAAAAAAATTAAATTCGTTTCCTTACCAGCACGTTGCTGCACCAACTCGCTCACAGGAACGCTGCCTTTACAGGTTTCTCTTTTAATTATCCTGGAAGCAGGGGGAGGGAAAAAAAAAAGCAAAAAAGAAAAAGCAGGGTGGTTAAATTAGCGTGCTGGAATCTTTTCAGTTTGTCGCAGAGTAGAAAAATAAAAAAGGGGGAAAAAAAGGCTCAGTAATTTAAATTTGCTCTCAGTTCAGGCTGCCTCGTTGGGTCCCGCCCCTTCTTCCCGCTGGGTTCCACTACCTGTGAGCCTGGAATTGACAGCTACTGTGCAAACACAAAAAGGCAACAAGCATGCTGGGACCATTCTGTCTGCTGTTTGGGTCTCACTTGTCCTGACAACTAAAAATCATCAGTGGCAAGGTATTCTACATTTTCTACTGGAAGCATTTGCCTGTCATTCCCTTCCATGTTAATTGATTCACCATAGTTCACCAGGATGGGGTTTGATGACTCTTGGTTTTTTGGGGTTTTTTTCTCTTTTCTTTTTCTAAAGATGTATAATAATAATAGTGGTTGCTATTATTTGTGCTTTTTCTATTATTTTCTGTTTCATGCCATCTTTTGCATTCCTCATTGTCTTGTCCTCTTCTCTGAGACACATTCTCTCCTATCTTTTGCTTTAACTCATAAAAATTGAAGTTTCCAGGGATGATAGAAATATCAAGATCACCAGGGTTTCCGTTTTTCCTTTGATACAATTTTTTTTAGCATATAGTATTGAGAATTATTGTTGAAAGGACAGAGGGCCTAAGAAGAAAGCTTCATAATACCAGAAACTTCTAAAGGATGAAAAACTAATGCAAAAAGTCTTTGCAACCAAATCCAAAATGTTCATTCTCATATTTATGAATTGGGCAAGTAGCTAAAAATCATAGAGGTAAATTCTATCTACATTGAATGTCACCTCAGGTGTCTCCTATAGAAAACCACTTTGATTTGGGCAACAAAAATAAAATGGTCACTTACTGAGGGGCATATTGTCAGTTGGTAGCAGAGGAATTATGAAAGATAAAAAATCCCATCCTTCTTCTGTCAGAATGTAAAGAGCCCACCCAGAATTTACAAAACATTTTGCTGTTGTTGTTTTATAAATGTTCTTTTTTAGAGGAGGCTGCTATGGACTGCTATTGGTATTGGAGCTGCCCCAAGGCTGCAGGTAGGGCACATTAGCTACAGGTTTGCCTCTTGATCTGAAGCATTGCTTCTAGAACAGTATATAACATTGGCTCTCCTGTTCAAATATGAATTTTTCTTAGATCATCCTCCTGCTCTAACATGAGTACCCTGCTGATGGATAGGTCCTTTCACATTGTTGGGGGTGGGCTGGTTAAGGGATAAATGATAAAATATACATGGTTCTTTGCCAGTGGCTGAAAACTTGAAACAAAACTACTCCTATTGACATGACAACATTTAAACTACTTTCGCTTCTTAGTTTTTGTATTTTTAAAAACATTTTTTCTCCTTATCCCTACCTCAAGCCATTTAAATAAATTTCCTTATGTCTGTAAAACCTGTAGAATCCTGAAAGTCAAGAATGGTCTTGACCTAATGGACTTGAGTTGACTTCACTCTTTTTTTTTTTTTATCCAAAAGAATTTAATGCAGGGTCTCAAAGAGATATTTGTACACCCATGTTCATAGCAGCATAATTCACAATAGCCAAGGGTAGCAGTATCCATCAACGGATGAGTGGATAAACAAAATGTAGTATATACATACTATGGAATATTATTCATCCCTAAAAAGGAAGAAAGTTCTGACACATGTTACAATATGGATGAACTCTGAGGACTCTATGTTCAGGGACAGAGGCCAGTCACAAAAGGACAAATATCATGTGATTCCATTTATATGAGTTGACTTCACTCTTTAAATTCATATTTTCAAAAGGGAAATAATTGATAATATAAATTAAATACACATGATTAAGCTTTCTAAATTGGTAAAAAATTAGTGGAATGCCATGCTACCATTTGAGGTCTCATCATAAAACCAAACCAATTAAAAATGGATAGGGCCAAGGGGCCAAAGAGCAAAATGACATATTTTCCTTCTATTATAACCTCTATGAGGGTTGTTTTTCTGTCAGCAAAAAATGCTTTTGCTCAACTCCAACAAACAGCTGTAATGTTGAAAAATAAGGCAGGTCAAGTACTCAAGAAGCTATGTTAACTTCCCAGGTAGTTAGGCAATCAGCTTTAATGAAACAGTGGTAAATTACACCAATGTGCTAATTATGGTACTTTGTCACAGCATAAAATGCAATAAAACCAACTCATGCCTTAGCTGAGAAAGTGTTATGTGTAGATTTTTCAAACGACTTAATTGAAGAGAGATTTTATGTTCCTGAATAGTTCTGTAATTTCATATGGCTTTTCCTCAATTCTTTCCTTTTAAAGGAGAGTTCTAGAAAGAGATATAGAGCTGAAAATATATAAAAGAAAAAATAAGTAGAAGAAAAAAATATGTAGAGCTGAAAATCATGGTAATGACTTTGCCAGACTGGTGTCTGACTATAGTTACAAATATTATGACTAACATGCCAATGTTAAATACTTCAGTATCACTGTGAATAACATAACACACTTAGAACATGTTAGATAATATACAAATATGCACAGAACAGCACATGTTGGTTTATATTCTGAACACCTCTCTTTAAATAAAGAAGAAAGAATATTTTTATAGTAGTCAATGCTGACTGAATGCAATGGAGTATGCTTTCAGAGTTCTGAAGTGTAAGGTAGCTCACATGAGAGAGGCTCAAATGGCTAAAAAACATGTCCCTTTACTGGGGTGCCAGACACATGTGATACACAAAGTCTTGTGGCATTTTATAACAGGCCAAATATCCATTCCTATTTCTAAACCACAAGTATACATCACTCCTCTAATAGGTATAGTAATATAGGAGATAGAAACAGGAAACACTATAAGCTACAGGAATAGAAACAGACAACTCCTGATGTAGAGACGCATAAAGAACTAGAACGTTTCACATAAATGCACATTACCTGGCTAAACTGGCTGTTAGAATTTTGAAAAGCATATTGGAAAGGAGCAAAACTTCTTTACAAATCAGTTGATAAAACTTAATGTTTTGAGAAAGTTTAGGTGAAGAGGAAAGCCCAAGGAAAACACAGTCCTTGTACTGACCAAGGTGACAACAGATGACAGAGCTTAGAGAATAGGATCAGTAGAACCATTCAGTGTCAAAAGGAAGGTGACTTCTCACTTGGATAACAAGGTGGACAGCACAATTCGTCTTGTGGAGGTCAAGTTTTGCATTGTGAGTGATGGTGAGGACAGGTTGGAACACGTTTATTTGAGAATCCAGTTAGAGAAAAGTAGAGGAGATGGCTGGTATCTGGGCCTAGATCCCAGGAAAGTGATCAGTGGAGAGATGATAATAAGAGTCACAAGTCCTTAATAGAAACCATATAATGATGAGTTCTTTAAGAGAATACCAGGAAAAATGAGAAAAATTCCTGGGATGGCAAAGGAGGAGGAGCTGAAGTCATAGACTGAGAAGTAGCATGAGAGGCAAGAAGGAATGTGGAACAAGGTGGGATAAAAGAATTCAAGAGAGATGATTTGGACTACTCCAGGGCACCCAATTCTGCAAAGATTTCAAATATTTATGATCTGGACTGGGATATACCAGAAAATATTAATAAGAAATAGCCAGTTGAAGGCTATTGGCAAAGCGATTTCATTGTAGTGATGGGGTCAGCTGCCAGACAGCATTGGTGAAAAAAGGGACTTGCTAAAGGCAATATTTCATGGAGTTAACCACACACAATTAAATCGAATTAGAACTTGTTAACCATCTTGCTTCGGTCCTATCGGCAATGTAGTTGAGTTGAGTTGAGTTTAGGTGCTAGGTAGCTAGTGAGGGATATTAAAAACAAAACAAAACAAAACAAAACAACATCAAAAACTAGACTTCAAGGTTCCTACTCTCAATCTGAAATATATGACAATCTATTTGGAATATACACAATTACATTTTAAGCTTTATGTTAGAAATTTTTCTGTCTTGCGTAGAGAAAACTGTGATAGAATGAAGAAGACAGCAAATGTAAATGCATATATAATATATAACTATCTCTTACTGATACATGGCATTGAAACTGTCAGACTGTATATATATATATATATATATATATATATATATATATATATATATATATAAAATTTCAAAGGAGATGGATTTATGACACACCTAATAGGCCGAGGAAATGTTCATTGGATAACTAAGTATATAAACATGAAGTCCACTATAATGCACCTTATATTTAAATAAACACCCCAGAAATCATACACATGCAAACGTATGATGTTGCTTCAAACAGTGCACTAATTTTCACACTGGTCTGAACTGGGATTATTCTGTCTTTGTCACAGGCCCTTACTTTATTTGTCACTATGCATTTTCTCAAATTAGAATCTTTGTCAATTGATTTGTAAGGAAGTTGAACCCTCCCATCCTAAAGATGTTCTGAAAAATACTCTTCGACATAATTATCTTTTCTGATAATGTTAGTAAGGTAGAATTAAATGAGTTTCTCACTTTAGCAAAGGAATATAGCATTTCATCACACAGCTCATAATTTCTTAAGTCACAGGTCAGAAAATCCTTGTTTCCTCTGTTTCAGATGTAGGAAGAAAAACAAAGGGGATATACTCGTATAATGAGGAAGATTAAATTTGAATCCTGAAGATATTCTCTAGTCGTTTTTTTTTGTTGTTGTTGTTGTTTCTTTTTTTTTTCTGAAATAATTTACCACTTTCATTTCATTTAAAGCCACTTCAAACTTGGGGGTTGCAGGTAAAGTTTTCCTGGACTCTTAGTTAACTTATAGTACTTTGCTACATAGGGCATACATAGCATGTTAAGATTTTATTATTTATTAATTTAGACAACATTTGAACAATTGATGGTTATAATTTCATGCTTTCTCTGGCTCCCTCTCCATATTCTGCACCATGACATAAATTTTCTAGAATTTCCATTTCTTGCCAAATGCAGTCCAATATATATCATTGTGGGAGAAAAATAATAAATAAAATAAGCACACAAGAATAAAATTAACTATCCCCAAGCACTCTATTGTAAAAAGAAAATGCTTTACTTCATAGTTTTGATGGAAAGGTAAGCCAGTATACTGTCATAGAAACTTATT